GTACTACGCCACTTGTTGGTGAGCTGGGGTAGTAAAACATGTCAGCAGATCCCTTTGCCATAAAGGTGCGATTCCTTGCTCCGTGTATTGTCCACTTTCCATAGTCTGCGTCGCATACTGATCTGCAAGCTCGTTAGCATGTACTCCGCAATGTCCGTAACAAAACTGCAGGTGCACGGACCAGCCAGCACGCGTCAGTGTTAAGAGACGCAGCCAGATCTGATCCTCCGTCCAGTCTGTCTGACTGAGCGGGCCCTTGTTTAGAGCCGCTAGAAGAGACTGACTGTCCGTAACCACAAGCAGGGTTTTACGCCTGTGTCGGATACGAGGGATCATCAGCTTCTCCAGGGCTAGAAGCAGCGCACGGGATTCCGTCCTGTAGCTGCATGGGCGTGCACCGCAGTTTATGCTGGCCTTTTCTATTATCTCCGATGAGTTGAGGGATGAAAGCAGTATTCCAACCCCGGCTGACCTGGGAACGTCGACACCGCCATCCGTCGCAAGTATCCACGAACGATGGCTGTGCAGCGCTAGAGCCTCTTCGCTGACTCTGCGCTTTTCCCGTATCAGCTCTTCTTCGTCAGCTATTGAGAGGTCCATCGGAAGTTCCACACCGATGGTGGCCCGGTGAGCGGAGGCCGCAAACCAGGGAGGAATGGAGCTGCGAAAGAACCGCTCCTCGCGTGGTGAGCTCTCGGTGATGCCATAGTCCTTTGTGTATGCGTCTACGAAGGCATATAGCTCGTCCCGAGATAATGGCGAGATGCGGAAACCGGCGCGAGGCGGTGGCTCAGGCGGGGGTCTCCGCATCCAGTCCATCTGACATGCGCGTGTGTTCTCAAATATGGAGAGGCGCGCGCGCAGGCAGAGGACGTGGAGCGGCGGCATATTAGCCTCCAGCAGTGCGGATTCCGGGTCGACAGTGCTCGGAACTCCGCTGACAATGCGTGCTAGAGTTGCGTACGTCTTCTGCATCTCATTCTTCGCTGAATCCATCGCTACTGCCCATATGAGCTCGCTGCCATAGCGTAATTTGGAAGCACCGTATCCAATGACGAACGTGCGTAGGTCATGTGGAGATGGTCCCGCCTCTTTGTGCGCTATGCAGCGTAGCTGCGATATCCGTTGCGAAGCGGCAGCGCATTGCTTGGTGGCCGCCACATTTAGCGTCAGTCGCGGATCGAGATCCATGCCGAGAAGCTTCGTAGTTCGCGATGCCCCCATGGTCATGACTGGGATTTGACATCCAGCCACTACCAGGGGCCACTTTCCTTCACGATCATAATCGGACTCCGTGTGCGTGGAGAGTGTGAACCAAGCAGCTTCACACTTTGCCGGGTTAATGGCCAGGCCACTTTCCTGACTCCACGCATGCAGTCTTTTAAGAACCATGTTGGCGGTGGGAATGGCGTCTTACCGGGACTGCCCCTTGACGATAATAGAGAGGTCGTCCGCATACATGTCTGCTGTGACACCCGCAAAGCTGTTCGGCAGACTGAGAAGTGGGTGTACGTAAAGGGGAGAACAAATATGGTCCCAGCACGGACCCCTGAGGAACTCCTCGCAGCATGGGACGCCGATCGCTGTGTCTGTGGCCAACTCGTGTCTTCGCGTAGCGACCACATAGAAAGTTTCTAAGCCACCCTCTACAATTCGCCCCCGGAATATTAGCCAGCAAGCGACTGAGGACTCGATGATCTATGGAGTCAAGGGCCTTGCTGAAGTCAACCAGCACCAGCAGAGTCCGATGGGGTCTGTAGTGGAGTTGATTGCCAATACCGCTCTTCTTGGGAAGGCTCACTTGGAAATAGTGATTTCTATTATGCTCCACTTCGTGTATCAGGTGTGCCAGCTGCATCGTCGTAGTACGCATACTACGATATGCATACTGGTGGGGGTGTGGCGTCCACACCCAAAGCAATCTCTTCAGTGCCATTTTCTCAGCAACCCTACTCACAATGGAAGTGAGGCTGATGGGTCGATATGACTCAAGCAGTTCCGGCGACTTACCGGGTTTTAAGAGTGGAACGATGGTAGCGCGTCTCCACTCAACCGGAATCGTACCGGTCGTCCAGCTGTGGTTAATGCAACGAAGAAGGAATCGGAGGCCCTTTGACGAAATATGTCGCAGTGCCTCACTGTAGACTTCATCCGGTCCGGGGCCTTGCCATACGGCGTATTACGTAGCGCAGCAAGCAGTTCCGTACGATTAAAAGGTGCATCAAGAGGGCAGTGAGAAAACCCTGATGTAAATGTGGAGATCAACTCGTTGCTGTTCTGTGGTCCAAAAATAGAAGAAGCATTAATGCCCACGGATGTGTTCTGTCTGTTGATTCCTTTGGAAAATCTAACTGCCTTGTGAGAGGGGTGAAATGGAAGAAAGATGCGATTGAGAGCATTCGCTGCTCTCCTTGCTGCTTTGTAAGTGTGTTGAACATCTCCTAATAAAATTGATGTGGGGATGGCAGTGATGCCTTTTTTCGTCCGGAAATGTATTTCCGTGCGAGTGGCCCGCCTGGATTTAACTTGCTGATGCGACGTAGATACGTGTTGCGCAAGCGCTCTCGGAGTAGGAGGAAGAATTGACTCCTTGTCCGTTGCATTTCTGCCTCACGGTCGGGCGTCGGTAACTGTAGATAGCGGGCCTTGCTGTCGGTAGCAATCCGCTCTGCCTCCATGAGATTGTCGTCCCAAAGCCTGGGACCGTCCTTGTGCATGCCACGGGGGCAATGTCGTCGATACGAAGTTATAAGCGCTCTCGTGAAAGCCTTAATGCCGGTGGACTGCTTTTTATAGTCGTATGCCGGAAGTTGTGCGTCGAGGTCGTTGATGAATAAATCCCACTTGCACTTCCACCAACTGTGGAATATCCTAGGTGCCGAAGGTATGGTATCCATAAATGCCTGATGCAGCGTGAATGTCAGCATATAATGATCGCTAAGCGGCGACACGGAAGCTGACCAATCCGACACAGTCAAATGCTTTGACCATGTCAGATCGATACAGGATCGTTCTCTTGCGCCACGGGCATACGTGATCTCACCGGGGGTGTTAACCAAGGTGAGCCCCGCATCCGTGCACAGTTCTAAAAATTCTGCAGCAACCTCGCTTGGAGAAGTCTCCAGGAACGGCTCCCACTGTGGGTGATGCATGTTGAAATCCCCGCACAGCAGGAGCGGCGACGAGGCTGGAAGGCAGTTTACTAACCGCCTGAAGGATTGCGTTACTTGCGGTGGTGGTCTCATATAGGCACTCGCGACAATAAGATCACGGTTCTGGTCCAGAGCAACCTGGACCACCACCACTTCAAGGCTGGTGTCATGCTGGGGGATGGTGAGAGGTATACGCTTGGAGCGGAGAGTTTTCCGCACCAGCACCGCCACACCGCCTCCCTTGCCGATGCGCGACTGTGCATAGAGCACATAATCTCCAGTGTGCATGCTGGCGATCTGCTCTGACGACTTCCAAGTCTCCTGAATGGCTATTATGTCTGCTCCTTGCGCCATTAATGTTGCGAGTTTGGCCGCCGTGAGGCAAGAAACGTTCATCTGGAGTACTGCTATGGGGCCTGGGTTCTGCTCAGTGTCTCCGCCTAGCAGTAGCATTTGTAGTTGCGCGTCACATACGGCACGCAAACGGTGTGTATAGCGCTGATAAGCGCCGATGGAATTCAGCAGCGGATAGAAACAACGCTCAGCGGACAACCATTACAAATGGCTCCATCTGGTGCCCTTCCGACCCGTTTGTTCGGCGTCTGCCACCTCTCCGCACACAGCGGATGGGCAGCAGGCGCTTAGCTTCATCCCTAGCAAAGAGTACTGCATGCTGGCACCACGTTGAGGTGGCCGGCTGACCCATAGCGTTGTTGTAGTCTTATTGGTGGTAATATTTGGCATTTTGATCTTCTGATTTGATATCTGTGCCTTATGATTCTCATCGCCTTGTGTATTTTACTGCGCCCTTTTATTTTGTGCATCTGACATACCGGTCGCACCTTGTGTGTGTGTGGAGACTGAGTTGCCAAACCTGCTGGCTCTGGATTGTCGCTAGCCGAACTCAGTGACTCTGGCGGAACTCGTGTCTGTCCAGTGATGGCTGTACCTGCTTCCTTTGGCAACGAAGGTCCCGGACTTCTCAAACCCTCCTCGCTGTCTCTCCCACTCTCTGTCTGTGGTCCACCGGTCTCCCCACCATACGGCTGTAATGCACCAGGCATACTTTTGTAGGATCCGGTTTCCCTAGCTCAGGGCTGGGAGGACGGCTGTTATCGTTATTATTGTCCCCTGCCGCCGGCACGCACAAGGACGAGCAGCAGCAGCACAAGAGCGCAAGGACCAACACGGCGCCGCACCGTCACCATCGCAGTCATCATCGCCCGTAGTGGAGTCGCTGGTGTCAGTCAGCTGATCGGTGAGACGGAAAGGAAAAGAATGGAACGAGAGGGAGAGGGACGGAGCACAGCGGATACAGCGAGAGAGCAGACAACATGAGGAGAGGGCAGCAGGCCCAGCCGCACAGTTCACACACCACGAGACGGCATCCACGCAACGAAGGCACACAACGCCAGCAGCCACCCACCATGCAGGAGGAGAAGACATCCACCACCATCTCCCCCAGCTCATTCCCGCAGCCCCAGGGAAATGGCAAACCCCGCGGCCACCACACAACGCACACGGAGCAAGCAAACCCTCATCCATCCATGACGCGGCACAAAATTTCCTGCCATCCCGCCCTCAATGGGACACGGAGCCCAACTCAGCGCAGTCACACGCGGTGCATCACACCCGCAGGAAAATAGACTCGGGGTGCGCTCCCTCTCTCCCTCCTCCTCATGGCCACGGAAGAAGACAACAGCCGCCACACGCAACTGCCAGCATGCACTACAAAAGGTGCATTCAAATCCACTGCAATGTGCATCTTGTGTGTGTGTGGTTGTGTGTGCCTGCAGCAACACAAAGCAAAGAAGTGGAAAAGAGGGAGCAGAGTATGCGGAGGGACGCACAAAAATGTACAGCGGAGACGCATAACGGAAACAACAACAAGAAGACCGCTCAAACTCATCACGGCACTGCAGCCCAAGCAGCGGCAATTCACACAATATTTATTGAAAACAAAAAACGTCCCCCTTCGTCTTATGTAAACCCCACCACACAAAATAATTATAAATGAAAAAGAAATCGTCCATTACTGTTCCACACAAATTAAAATAAAAATCGCCTGGCTGCCGCGTGGCCACACCAGACTGTCTGTATGTATTTTGCCCACAAAAGAAAATTAAAAAGATGGTTGCGTGTGCTTCAACCGTCCGACCCTCCATGTGTCCGCACATCGTTTATATTTCATGGGGTCATCTGCGTGTTGCTGCTCCCCTCAGCCCTCCCATCGGCGCGTGAGTGCGGCCCGCAGAGCACAGTCACTCGTGTGTGTGGGGACTGAGAGAAGCACGCAGACATGACGGCAGTCGCGTCACTCCATCGGGAGAGTGAGCGCAGCAAAAGAAAAAGAAATCATCGGAGGGGAGAGAAATGCTCACGAGGCCGACACCGAAGGGTGCGCCACCGCATGAAATAAACACGAGAAGCAAAACAAATCCTTAAAGAAAAACACGGCGGCAGGGTGTGGCTGTGTGTGTGGCGCTGCGGGTGTCTGCCCGCCCTGGCCGCAAAGAAACAAAACAAGAGGGAAGAAATGTGTGCTCCGCCCCACAGGCCCTCGTCGCACGCCCACACGTCACGGCTCCCTCAGCGCGCCGTTCGTCGCGGCCCCTCCTCATGCGTGCAGCAGGCGAGGCGCACAGGGCCGTCGTCATGAGCGTGTCGGTGGTGTGCGAGTGGAGCAGTTGGGCGGAAACACACGGCACCCCTCGCAGGAAGAGTGCAGCAACAAACAATTAAAGAGGGAAGAGTAGAAAAGAAAAAAGGATCTGAAAGAAAAAGAATTTTAAAACAGGAAATTAGCAAAGATTAAAGTAAATTTAAAATACGCTCAAAAAAGCACGAAAAAATGGTTGTTAGAAATATTCGGTTCCCATGTGAATTGTATTTCTGTGCTGAGGAAGTCGCAAGTGTCCCACGCGGCAGCCAGTCACTCCTCACTGAGCCGCAAACCCCACGTTCCCAACAGAAGAAGCAACGGCAGAAGTCCGCTCCCACACACAGTGCCGGCATCGCTTTTATTCCCCTGCGACAAATTTCCGAGGCTGCTGCTGAGTGCCGCAGCTTTCACTTCCCTGTTACGGATGTCCTCCCGTTTCTGACCATCCGTTCTTCCCGCCGTCTCCCCATCCTCACCAGAGCTCACGCTCACCTCAGGAGTTTGGGGTGATCCATTTCCCCGCATCGTATCTCCACCCCTTGTTGCCGCCTCTTGGGAAACATCAGACGAGAGAGTCGTAGCAGTGGAAGCTGCACTGGATACACCGTCACTGCCACCAATATTAGTCGTCAACGGTTCCTCTTCCAAAGGCTGTGGTTTCGCAGGAGACTGCAACATGTTTCCCGGCGCATTTTCGGTCACCGGAGACGTAATGGTGTCTTTATTCGGGTTGAGGGCGCCAACCTCCTCTTCAGTCCACGGGCGGTTGTACAGCAGGACGTTCGTCACAGTCACAGACACGCCTTCTTGGCCCTCTGCGCTGCCTCCATCCCCTCCAATGTAGAAGTGTGAGATCTCTTTCAACTCCGCGGTTTTCAATTCACATTGCGCACTCCCCACAAGCTTACCATCGACGTACGCAGAGCCCTGTGTGCCGTTATGTAGCACAATGGCCACTTGGTATGTTTTCTCTGTCTCACAAGCGCTGTTGTGCTCCTGAGAGTTCGTTCCGCCACCGCAAGACAACTCCCACTTACCTCCGCCGTTGTACGACAGTCCCAGGAAAACTGTATTCTTATTTTCGTCATTCATCTTCGCACCCATCAAAGGAATGTGGCTGCCGCTCTTCGGCACACCGTCGATGGATACCGTCGCCACAAGAGTGAAGTTGTAGTTCGCAAAGTGATACAGCTGATTCTCCCCCTGCTCGCCAACAGGCCACTCCGCCCACGCACCATGGAACTGCACACCATCAGAAGTCTTTGTTGCCCCTTTCTCCCCATCATCATTCCCCTTCACTGTGGCGTTCACTCCGAGGTACTCGTCCTTCCATGTGTTATCAGAGAAGTTGCCGGACAAAAAGCCAACCAGCCCATTTGTCGGCATGGCAGTGCCAGATGAGGTATCCTTCTCAACATTTAAAGAGAGGCACAGCTTGGAGACGCGTTCGTCTACTTTCTTCCAGGTCGCCAGCACATCCTTCACACGCTGCAGCTGCGCAGTCAGACGCACAGACCAAAGACTGTGTGATGGTTTCCCACCGTTCTTCTTCTTCTCGTACAGTGCAATCAACTTCTCATCATTATTATCTCCACTTTCAGCACTTTTGTACAACAGGGAGCTGGCGGCAGCGTCATCAGCTCCCTCGGATACCGGCCCAATATCAACAATGTGCGTATTGTCCGTCAGCCAAAGATGGAGTTCACCTTTTTCTTTCTTACTGTCCTCCTCGGAATACACCGGCAGGGTGACGAGCATCACATTTCTGTTATTTTCATCACCGTCAATCGTCGCTGTGATGAACCCGCTTCTAACGCCCTTCTCATTTCCCTTTTTGTTGCCCCACACGCGCGAGAGTGTCCCGAGTGCCTCCGTCCACGAATCCCCCTTGTCACCGGACTCGTACACCCTGCGGCGGCCATCATCACACGCAGTCATCATCATGAGTTTTCCCTTCTCCCACTCCACAACGGAGGGATCACTGCAGCCACCGTCAGACATCTCCTTCGACAGCGTCCAACGCTTAGTATCCGCCGAGTTGTGTATAATCAGCGAAACGGTCTTCTTATTTCCGTCAAGTTCGTTCAAGCCTTCCACTGGAAACACAAGCGTACTGTCGTTCATCTTAACGCCCGATCCACCGCCGCCAGTCAGTTGTGACAAGGAGTTGTGTTTGTCGCCTAGAGTGCACGGTACACCGTCAGTTTCCTTCCAATGGATTTGTTTGTTGTCGGCCTCACCACTGACCTCACCCTTCACCAGCAATGTTCCCGATTTGATCTTCTCAGTCTCAGCCTGACAGGTATCAGCAGCTTCATGGCTGTGTTTTCCAACAAGCATGTAAATATTACCTTCATCCACAACTGCTGTTGGTCGGCTCACATTTACTTTCTTTCCCTCTGGGGAGCCGCCTTCCTCCAGAACTTGTGTGTCCTTGGCATCCTTCAGAACTTCTTCCCTTTGGTTATCCGCTGTTTTCTTGAGAAGTTGGGATGCAATGCCAGTAAAGACGGTGTCTTGGGCCTCATTGCACTGCGCCTCGGCAACGGCAAACAAATTACCATTCACCTCAACAAGAACTGGAGCACGTAAAGAATTCATTGTTTCCCCATCCTTTTTCACATCCCTCCAATGAAACGGTTTCTCCGGTGAAGATCCCTTAGCTTGTGTCGCCCCCACATCAGCGGTTGCACCTCCAGTGCCGCAGCACATCATCACGAGGAGGAGGAGCAGCACCGCGGAAGTAAACACACGCCGGGAAATGTTGGGCCTCTGCGGCTCACTCTCTCTTCCTTCCCTCCTCCTCCCGCTGGATCCGGTCACGCGGCGACGGTTGTGTGTGCGGGGTGCCTTCACTGCAGCAACACGTGAGAGCATATAAATATGTGTGTGTGGGTGGTGTGTGTGTTGTTGTTCCTTTCAGTGCCTTCGAATTTCACAGTAGCGATTAGCGCTTAGCCTTACTTCCTTTCTTTCTTTGTGTGTGAGAAGAGGAAAAGAGAGGAAAAAGGAGTGAAACAGTGAACACCGCCGCCCCTCCACAGTGAGTGGCATCATCATCCCCACCGCAGTCACTCCCAACAACAACAACTCACGCACACAGACACACGGAACGAGAAGGAAGGACAGTGCACCGGGAACACAAATCGACTGCCACCAGCAGTAAAAGCCACAGCGGGTATCTTGTGCTTCCGCCACGCGTCGGCAGACACAGAGCAACGCCCACATGCACTGCCGCCAGTCATTTTACTGTTGTCATTCCCCGCACCATCCATCACACATCGCCCCGCACAGCCGGAGAATCCTTCGTCGGAAAATCCACAGCGGGAGAAACACGTCGGCACGTGCAGCTGCTGGGCAAAAAATCCACACGCACTCCTCCCAGGTACCCTTAATGCCACACCACATCAGTCAACTGCTGCACGTCGCCAACACCACAACCGCAGCAAGTCCAAGGGACACACGGCGAGCTCACGCCCTCCTCTCCGCAAGGGTCGCCACAGCCAAATTGTGTAAAAAATGACATGTGCATGTGTGTGTGTGTATGTTTGGCAGCGCCTATACTTGCAGAGCAGCTGTGCGCCACAAGAGAGTCTGAAGAAAGCAACGGCAGAGAGAGGCAGATAGCACACACGCAAATTACTCATATCATCACACACACACACACGCAGCCGCGGAATGGGTGCACTCAACCACAAAATCAAAAAGAAAAACAAAACAAAAAGCCGAAGCGTGGGACGACCAGCGCACACACACTCTCATTACTCCCGTAAAGCAAAACACGCACACAGAGGGAGAGAGAGAGGTCGCCCACTCAATGCAATAAAAACAAAACAGAAACAGTTACGGTGCTCCGCCCATGCAGCCAGGCAGGACGGCAGCGGTGCGTGTCGTGCAAAAGAGAGCACCAACGGGCCTGCATGGGTGTGCATGCATATATACAATGGGCACATTATTGTGTGTGCCTCGTGAGGTGAGGTGAGGGCGAGAGTCCATGCAAGGGGACACAAACACAGAGAGAGAGAAGGAAGAGTGTGTGTGCGGGCGGTGCATGGCTCTCTCCCTCACTCTCACGCGGCCACCACCGCAGCCGCCGCACACGCAACAACAAGAAGAAGCAAAGGAGGGGAGGTGGTGTGGGAGACCGCGGTGCTGCCGTCACTGTCGCCAACCTTTGTCGTTGTACCATTTGTTTGAGCAGCGGTGATTGTTGCTGTTTGTGGTGCTGCCTCACTGAGTTTTGGAACAACTTTGGTTTTGCCAGTTTCAAGGCTGTCGTGTTGTTCTTCAGAGCTTTGAGCATCATCCTCATCTGCCTTATTGTGGACATGATCACCGCTGCCACTCGCAGAGGTCGATGAGACTGTCGGTTCTGCTGGACTGCCGGTTGCTGCATTCATCGTCGGATCCTCTGTGTCTGCGTCATGACTGTGCTGCTCTTGTGTAGCATCCCCTGAAGGTGGTTGTGTTGCTTCTGAGTCCATTTTGGATCCTGAAGGCGTGGCTTCGTTCGTTACTTTTTTTGAATTCTGTGGTTTTTCTCGCTCTGCTGTTGTGTGTCCCGATGGTGTTGGTGTTGGTGGTGGCGGTAATGATTGTGGTGCTCCCTCATTATTTTTACTTTCGTGTTTCTGGGGTTGTACCTTATTTTTTTCCTTTTCGTCTTTTTTAACCTTTTCGTCTCCATTTTCATCATCACTATCTTCACCATCAGCTTCCTCTATATGCGGGGAAGATTCGCGTGGCACTTCTACTTTAATAACTGGTGATCCAACTTGTAATTCTTGGGTTTCTTCTCGGGGCGTTCCAATTCCTCTTGATTCCGGCAGAGATTCATCACCACTCCCACGAGCTGCTGTCCTCTCCTCGTCACATCTGCCGCCGGCACCGCACCACAGCACGCAGAGGGCACACACCAGCAGCACACGGCCAGTCATCATCATCGCCATCGCTCCTGTCACTTGCGTGTAGCCTTCAGCACAAACTAACAACACGTCAACAGAGAGTGAAAGCAAAATGGAGAAATACAAGGCCGCTACACCACACACAACCACCGCAAAGTGCCAAATGATAGCAGCACACAACATGAGGCAGTTGGAATCAGTAAAAGGGCAAAAACACACAAACACAGCTCCGCAGCAATAAATCAGCAAGAAAAATAAACACAAAGCATTTTTAAAAAACACGAGTAAAGAAAGAGCAATAAATTCTTTAAAAAGGTAAAACCACTAGAGACAAACAGGTGCACAGAATGGCTCCAGTGTGCATGCACCAGCACACACAGACATGCTTCCACGCAAACAGTTGTGTGCGTGTCGTGCATGTGTCCGGGATGTGTTCAACGTGACGGACACGAGAAGCAACAAAATGGAGCACACAGCAGAATAGCGAAAGCAAATGAAGCAAAACACAATCATTACTTTCTCTTATTTAGTTACATCGGACCAAAGTAGAAGCGCACAAATCCCAGTGGTTGAGTGCTGGCACGCACAGCCCTCATACAATTCTTCAGCCCACAGTGGTGTACACCAGCGCGGATACGGCAAGAAGCAGCGAGGTACACACCCACGCAGAGCTGCTGAGACTGCCGTCGATTTCGCGCAGACGTGACGGTGCGCGGGTGGTCGTCGTGGTTGGTGCCTCTGTATTCATGGTTGGTGCCTTTGTTGTAGTCGTCGTCGTTGTTGATACAGTCATCTTCTTCTCTTCTTCTTTTTCTGACTGAATCGGCCCACTTTGTTCCCCTGACGCAACGGTTGGTACAGTATGTGGCCGTAGCGGAACGCCAGGAGTTTGTAACGTGGACTGACCGGACACACCTGGTGCACCTTGACTGTTGGACGACCCACCAGATACCATCTCTTGTGTGTTTTCCGTACCGGCCGCAATAACTGGCTTATCTACTCTTTCCCTTTGTTCCACTTCCTTCTCAACTGGTTCCTGTACCTCTGGTACCTTTGGAACAGCGGGGACCGCACTGGGGGCACCATTAACTTCATTCGCTGTCACGCACACGGACGGGCAGCAGCACAGGGCAAGCACCAACAGGGCGCACAGCAGACGGCACGTCATCATCATCGTGAGTGTGGTCGTTCAGTGTTGTGGAGCTGATCTGCACAGTGAGGGGCATGGAGAGCAACAGGGGAGACGAGAGGTGCGGCAGACACACACAGAGGGCACACCAAATGAGGAGAGGGCAGCAGCCAGGCATGCACCGTACGCCGCACACCACGCACGACACACACTCCAATCCACGGCAACAGGCACGCACACACAGCCCTGCCGCAACACCAACACACAGATGGAAGAGGGAGAAGCAAACAGGAGCGGCACACAAGGCTCCACCGCATGCACATACGGCGAGAGCGGTCCGTCGTGTCGGCACCCCTCACGGAGGATACGCACACACACAAGAGGAGGTGCAGCGCACACAGCAACACAAAGGCAAAGTAACAATTAAAAAGGAAAGATCCTTGCACAACACGTGGATTGTTGGTCCACGGGAAGTGCAGCCAATATTCATCACAAAGACAATTCATCTTTCTTAGGCCTTCGTTCATATTCAGCGCAAGGAATGGAAGAGTGCAGGAAACCATTTATTTGTGTTTCTGTTTGAATGTTGGTAGATGTCTGCACGTTTTGTTTTTGTTTTTGCATAGGGTAAGCCTTCATGCCTGGGTCGTGTGTTGGGGGCTCCTGCAAGGTACAGAATTATTTACTTTCATCTTGTGAATGTTTCTTGTGTTGGTGCAGCCAACAATTCGGTTTGTGTTGTTCCTGCCTTTCGCTGGTAAAGTGCTGCAATAAATGTTTGTTTTTCTTTTCGTTGCTGCGGCACCTGATTCCTCACCGTTTATTGCGGTGTAAATGAAAATATGTGAGTGGACTCCCACGCACCAGAACGCACCTTCGCTCCTATTTATTGCTGCACGGAAGGGCATGCGTGTTTGGTGGTGTCTCGTCCATATATTTTGTGGGTGCACATTCCCCTGCAGGCTGAGGGCGGGATGACGCTCCGTCGCGGCGCACTTCCCTCGCATGCCGCCCACTGTGATTCATCATGCATCACCCCCTCACATATTCCGTGGTGCCACACCGCTGATATTATTGCAGCCGCTGTGGTTCCGCGTATTCCACGCATTTGATTGCGCCACAATACATCCGCTCGTGTGGCCGCCGCATCCAAACAGCGGTGCCCAACACCGTGAGCGGCAGTCCACATCCTTGCATGTCCCAACGCAGTGGTGCTTGACTGTCAGCCAGGCGCCAGACATCAGGAGAGTGTTGTGCCGGCAGTACAACACACGGAGCTGCAGTGAATGACTCGGCGGCGACGCATCTATTTGTCGCAAAGCAGTGAAAATGAGTCGGGCAAAATAATGCCGGCTGCACTCACGACACCACATCCACAGCCAAAGCATGCGACGTGATGTGTGTTTCGCTGGTGCTGTGAAATGCCTGCAGACGACGTCACTAGTGGAGGCACACCATCCATGATCAGCGGACAGACAATAATCGGCATGGGAGGCCAAAAAAGGCGGCAACGACGCCAGCAGCAGGAGCAGCTCTCTCTCTCTCTCTGTTGCCTCCGAGAAGTAAATATTCCACCAGCCACAGCTGACTGTGCCATCGTGACACTCCATGTACGTCTTGGCTGCGTCAACACATCCTGCTCCCTGCTGCGCCTCGAAAGATGCCTCACTCCGTCCACTAAATGCATCGATGTGGGCCGTGCCTCGGCTGTGAGTGAGGACCACAGCGATGTGCGGGTCACCGAGTCGCAGCATGTTTGTTGTGACGTTGTTGCATGGCACCTGCACACACACACACGCAGCGCCTGCATCCCTCCCTTTTGTGTTCGCCCTCCGCCGGAGTGGCCACACACGCGGGCAGCAGCAAAATCACTTCACCCTCGACGGTCCAAAATCAACACCGACATCCCTCGCGACGCAAAGATCTCAGCTGCCAGCACGGGCTTCATGCCGCTCTGCCATCGACGATGAAACACAGCACAGCGCACGCACTTATTTTCCTCGTGTTCCGTCAGCCGTTTGCTTCACACATTCCTCGACGGGCCGACGCCCATAAAAGCACGCCACAAAAGGCCACTGTGATCGCACACGCTCTTGCGATGAGCGTCGGTGCGTGCATGGATCCGCTGCTCACACGTGCTGGCAGGCAGCCTGCAGCCGGTGCCCTCGTGCCAGTTCATCGGATCCAGCATGGAAAACAGAAAATGGCCTATTCCCGATGCTCTTATTCCCACCAGCAGCAACAACACGCTGGTCGCCAGCCGTCGTTCCCCAGCACATCCAGGAATGCTGAAGAGTGACGTGGAACTGTCAGCCAGCAATGCCACAATCCCGCACACATGTCGGCTCCACCAGAGAGGACACACAAACCAAAAACAGCACCCTCCACATGATTTCCGAACATCATTCCGACACACCGCGACACGCCAAACAGAAGTAATCGTCACCCCAACGCACCTCCCCACACAATCAAATAGTCCATGCACCACGCACGGCAGCAGCCCACACGCGGTCAAACAAATGTTCCTCGGATCAGTGTTATCCGCGTGCTGCGGTGGGAAGTAAACAAAAGAGACGAGCCGCCAAACCCCAAAAGAGTGCCGCAACTGGTCGAAATACAACGGAACGCAGCCACTCAAATGAATTCGGTCCTCATGCCCTCAGCCTCCCACCTTCTCCCACAAGAGCTGCCAACCAAACGTGACGTCCAATAAATTCGCTTTGCAAAAAAAGAAGAAACCGCAGTGCCTCCTGCTATCATCAGAGATGTTGTTTGTTGATTAATGCGGCAGGCACTCACCTGCTCCTCAAAACGACGCTGTGCGCCTGCAACGGCTTCTTCAAAATCGCAATTCTCCAACCACATCGGGAAGCTCCTACGCACCTTCGTCACACACCACAATGCAAATAAAAAAACAATGCTTTAGTTGGACTGCGATGCGGACCGTGCCACGTCGCCATCAGCTGCGGCTGGGTGCAGAGGCTGGGGCGTCCCGGCAAACCACGCGATACTTTCCGGTTGGGTGCGTCCACAGTGCGTTTCGCACCACGGCGGCGAGGCGGTCGCACCGTGTCCGGTCCCCCTTCACCTCCACAGCCTGAAAGTGCGGCACCGCGACAGCTGCACAGCATCGCTCGGCCCACGCGCAGCAAAGAAGGATACTTCTGTCCACCTGGCCGCCAATCCAGCACCGCTGCGGAGGATCATTGGGTCCCGCGCATCCACACAACACGAACGCCTCACACTTCCTCAATGTATTGAAGACGTGCGTGGCGCAATCTGCTTGGAGGCTATGCCGCCGTCCATGCATAATAAATTGGCGGCGTCGATCCCGCTTCCGAGGATGCTGTTATTAATGGATTGCGCCACGTATGTAACATTATTGGGATACCCCACAACCACAATCGTGCTCCTCCTATTCAACATCGTATTTTCCCCTGGGACACTGTGAGCTGCAATAAAGTGGAATTTAATCGGCCACGCTTTGCAAAAGACGTCTCTGACGATGTCAAGCGCACGGCTCTTGATTCTATTTACTCCTCTCTGGGAGATTTTGATTTTGAATTATGGACAGACGTTTCTTCATCTCTCGCCGAACTCGCATCTGGATCCGCTGCACTATTGTACGGCTCCACCACGACAAATGATCTCCCTGTGGAGGTCCATCGTGCAGCAGCTGGCAGGCTCGCATGCTCATAGAGAGCAGAGTGCCTTGCCACTGAAAATGGCATTAGACATCTCATACCTTTTGTCTGGAAACATCCCAATCACCCACACGAATCCTGGTGGCAACGGACTCCCTGTCGAGAACTGAGGCACTCCGCGTCGTCCCACTGGCCATGCGAGGCTAAGTCACTGAAGAGTGTTGGATTATGCTGCTCTCCTTGATACAGCGAGGTCACTCTGTAGACTTCAT